GTGACAGGCTTCGTGTTTTCGGATGATTCTATTATTTTTGTCTACATATTTTAAGGCTTGGAGAAGTTGAATGAGATTTTTAGCTAGTCAACGACTGATTGCATTGAGCAGCATACTTGCAAATGCAATTAGGCAAAAAAAAAAAAAATCAGATGAACTCTCTTTTTTCTTTTTTAAAAAAACTTAACACTGCAAACCATTTACTCCAAGGGACGTGTGCGCAGCTAACACTCACCTGTACCATAGGGTCAGACTTGGCAAGACGCTTTAGCCCCTCTACTAGCTTTGGTAGGTCGGCAGGGTTTTTGGCTTCAACCGCAACGCGCACAACTGGGCTAACACTAAATTTCATCACTCTCATGTTGTGGGCGTGTTCGAAGGTGCTAATGGTGCCCGTCTTCACCAAAAACTGATCGACACCAACCAGGCCAACAATGTTGCCACAAGGGACATCCTCTATGGGCTCAACGTAACGACCCATCATCAAAATGGTTCTACAAAGACAGAGGATGGGTAACAAGACCCAATTTTCTTTTTTAAAACCAAACCTTTTTCAAAGAATGTGTTCTCTATCACTACCATTTTTTATTCTTTTTTTTTTTTAATCCCATGATGAAATTTCAACTGGAGGTGCCTAAAAAACTGGCACAGGGAAAGTGTCTCCTGGGAAACAAAATAGTATTTTCTTTCTAAAAAAACCTTCCATTCCCTATCCCAAAGGTGCATTTTCAAGAGGCAACTGGATTTTCTTTATTTTTTTTCTTGAAGAGGTTTCGCTTCTCATCCAAGAAGCTTCTTCAGTTCTGACTGAATGGAGAAGAATGGAAGGATTCAGTCAGAACTAAAGAAGCTTCTTGGATGAGAAGCGAAATATCTCCAAGGAAAAACAAAAGAATGTCTAGTTGCCTCTTGCAAAAAGCACCTTTGGGACAACCACGGCCTGGATGATTGAGAATCTCCACAGACGCTTCTTCATTTTCTACACCCCCTAAATTGGGGGGTGTTAAGAGTTAAAAATTGTCACACAAGCAGGAGAAGGAGTGTTGCTCTCCCAAGTCACTCTGGTGATGTTTCTATGCTCAAGCACATCCCCGTCTTCATGCAGTGATCTAACAGTGTCTCAGCTTCCTAAGAGATCTCCTGAACATAAATCAGCCACGGTGGCACAGTGATTAGGATGCAGTATTGCAGGCTGATTCTGCCCACTGCCAACAGTTCGATCCTGACCGGCTCAAGGCTTGACTCGGCCTTCCATCTTTCTGAGGTGGGTAAAATAAGGACCCAGATTGTTGGGGGCAAGAGGCTGACTCTAAACCGCTTAGAGAGGGCTGTAAAGCAGTGTGAAGCGATATATATAAGTCTTAAACGCTATTGCTATTCTTCTGCCCTATCGGAGCTGCCACAGAAAGCTTTAAGCATACCCATCTACCAGGGATGGTATATCTATTGTGACTGGGGGAGGAGGGGCAGAACTCACCCCCACTGCTTATGCAACCCTTTTTGTTCTGCCAAACAGGACTCTGGGTTTCGTTAGCATGCACCCCATTTAGAAAAGGAGGGGAAACCTCATTGGCTACCTTTGAATAGGCTTCAAGTAGAGGTCTTCCTTCTTTCCCGGGGTATAGTTGGGTCCCATAATCCGCACCTTCTGGCCGGTGGAAACTATACCGGAGAAGACCCTCCCGAAGGCATAGAAGCGGCCTTTGTCCGATGTGGGCACCATTTTTGAGATGTACATCATCAGAGGCCCCTTTGGGTCACAGTTCTTAACGCCTGCAGCAAAACAAAAAAGAGCAAATTGTGAGGTCCAGGCAATCCCCTAGTTGAGTCAAAATTGGCTGCTGGACCTCCCAAGTGACATACAGGTAGTCCTCCACTTGCAACAGTTTGCTTTGTGATCAAAGTTGCAATAGCCTTGAAAAAAGTGACTTGTGACCTAACCGTTAGCAGTTCAGATTCTTGTAGAGAGCTTAAACCTATACAGGCAGTTTTCAACTTACGACCACAATTGAGCCCAGAATTTATGTGGTTAAGTGAGACTTCTTAAGTGAGTTTTGCTCCGTTTTAAGACTTTTCTTGTCACATTTGTGAAGTGTATTACGGCAGGCGTTAAGTTAGCGGCACAGTTCATCCGTGAATTTGACTTCTCCATTGACTTTGGATTGGCAGATCCCGGGACACTGCAACTGTCATGAATATGAAGCAGTGGGCAAGCATCCAGATTTTGATCATGTGACCATGGGGATGTGCAACGGTCGTTAAGTGTGAAAAATGGTCACTGGTCACTTTTTTTCAGGGCAGGTATAACTTTAAAAGGTCACTAAACGAACTGTTGTAACTCGAGGACTATCCGTGGATTGATTTGAACTGCCTGGACTCCTGATCTCCCGCACTTGAGACATGAGATATGGGGAGAGTCCGAAAGGAGAGAGGGGCTTGGCTCTAGACTGCTGAAGGTCCTCCCAAAGGCCTTACCCATGGCAGCTTCATCGTCAGGCGGCCCCTCGTACAGGAGCTCACAGCGGTACTTCTGAGCAGTGACAGGGGAGGGCAGGTGAATGGTGATCATCTGAAGCAAAGCCTCTCCGGCAGGTAACCAGCGACGCATGACGGCCTGGAAAACACGTATGGAGAAGCTGCCCTCAAGAGGTGCTACCTGAGCTCTGGATTGGCAACGTCACTTTCCCTCGTTGAAAAAGCAACAAAAACAACGGGGGCCCCTCCCATCCTTTCCAAAATGCAGGGCAGTCCTGCCTAAGGCTCAGCGCAAAGCGGTGCGGCGTCCCTGGATCCAACCCCTCGGGACAAGGTCACGCCCAGCCTGGCTACATCCAGGCAGCACCTGCAATTCTCAGGGCACACTGCTGCTTACCACTGTTGCGTTAAAAGGACACACATACACACGCCATTTCAAAAAACCTTGAGAAGCGGCTTTCCTTCTTTTTCCCGGTCTTCAGCGTCAAGCTTGATGTCCAGTTTTTCTATCAGCTTGGAGGTTTCTTCTTTCTTGAAGTTCATGATGGCATCGAAGACCTGCGGGGGGGGGGGGCGGGGGGGGGGAGAAATTAAATGTAATTGACTCTGTTAGTTGAGAAGAGATATCGAGAAAGATAAACCCACGTGAGAATTTAGCTCTTGGCCTACAATATGGCATCCACTTATCTGGGAGTAAGATCTACTGACTGTTACCGGTCTCACTTCTAAGCCGATTAAGTATTTCATTGTATCACGTAAGTCAGGTTTCATCAAATATCAGTTGTGCTGACAATTTACAAAGGGTTCCTTCCTCATGAGGCAGCCCACCAGATTGTGCTCTCTCAGTAACTTCTTTTGAAGGCTCTAGGCCCCTGATGGCGAACCTACGGCACGTGTACCACAGGTGGCACGCAGAGCCATTCGTCGCGGCACATGAGCTGCAGGCAAACCTCACTATGCATGCGCGTGCCTCACAGCTGATTTTTGGCAGCTTTGAGGCCTTTTTCGGCCTCCCAAAGGCTTGAGGAAGACTTCTGCAGGCTGAAAAACTAGCCCCATTTCGCACTTCCAGTTTTTCCGAAGATACCGGAAGAGATGAAACAGGGTTTGTTTTCGGCCTGCAAAGCTTACAGAAGCCTGCAGAAGTCTTTCTCGAGCCTTTGGGAGGCCAAAAGCGGCCTCAAACTGCCCAAAAATCAGCTGTGAGGTGCAGCGCAAGTAAGGGGGAGGCGGGGAGCCCAAAAAGGTTAGCCACCACTGCTCTAGGCATTCGCAGGTTCATGAAATTGGGTCCTGCCATTATGAAAAAGTGGCCCATCTGCTTCATACTTTTCTGAAACATGTGAACGAAGGCGAATACACGTCCCCCAGGATAAGGTTGCAGAATCCAATCTGAGTCGGCTTACTCTTTCAAACTTTCAGGCTCATGCTGGAACCCATCCTCAGGGAACTTCTCCCTTCCCAGAATATGTAAACTGGGCTGTTCTACCCATTGTATTTACATGGTTCTTGGTTGGGCGTAGTTTTTAGTTGTTAATTATGGCACTGAGGGTTGACTATTAAGTCATTAATGGTTGCCGCTTATGCCGCTGTGCCATCGGTTCTAAGTAGCTGGTAGGCTGATGGTAAATCAGCACTCCTTAATGACTGACAAGGGACCTGTTTCCCAGGCTTCAATCATTTCTTTGGCTATTTTTGTCCCTGCTTGACCAGCAATCATAATAATTGTGAAATCGAACGCATTGCAAGTTTTGACTTCAACTGAGCTCATTGCAATGTGAGGCTACCATTGAGTCCTCGTCTAACCGCTCATTCATGTTCTCACAATCTGTGGCCAGCTTCCTCCCTATCTCTCCTACACAGTCAGTCACAGGGACAATCCATACAGGATTGGTAGTCTCATCTTGCAATGATCAAGGACATGCATTCAATTTCACAGCTACTATTACTGTTGGCCTAGCAGGGACAAAAATAGCCAGAGAAATGAGTGCAGCTTGGGAAATGGGCCTCTTGTCAATCAATAGGTGTGCTGATTTACCATCAACCTACTAATTACTTAGGAGTTGAGAGTTCGGCAGCACAAGGAAACAATTAACAACTTAATAGCCAGCCATCGACACCCTAATTAACAACTAAAAGCTATGCACAACTAGGCACCATATAAATACAACACATAAAACAGACCAGCACACATTTTCTGAAACAGACTACAACATTAATTTTAATCCAAGTACTATGGCTTAACTTGAGTGAGAAGGATAGAAATAAAATCAGGCTGCTTCACGTGAACTCAAAAGCAATTTTTTTTCAAGGACAGCTGCATTAAAGCGGGAGAAGTCTGTCCATTGGGAATAAGACTCTTTCAAGCTGCACCAGAAAGATGCTTCTAAGGATGCGGCCACCAATTTATGAATACCCATGTGAAGCTATTACATTCTTAGGTGTTTTGCCCATTAGACATCCTTGGAAATATGAATGTCGTAGGCGAAATGGATGAATGTCCAAGTGTGAAGTTTGAAAAGCAGATTAATTAGCATTCAATGTTATAACAGTGCTGAATCCCAGCATTACCTTAAAAATGGGGTCCAGGATAAGTTGGCAGAAAGTACGTGGCAACTTCTTTCCATCAGGGCCAGCTGCGGATTTGCTGAATTTCCCTGTTGCTGGGTCAAAATACCTAAATGAAAAGTGTACCTGTTTTACATTCATGGGCTAAAGAAGAGAGGAAGAAACAGGCCTTGATGCTACCTCATCTGTACAAAATGGCTCATGCATCATTAATACCAATCAGTCCAACACTATAGGGCCACACATCATTCCACTCTACTTCCGTGTTCAAGCCGCAAAGGAAACTGAAACTGAATATTGTTGTTGTTGTTGTTGTTGTTCGTCTCACAGTCAGCCAAATGTTCAGTCTGGATTTGGCATTTTTGTCTACCTATCGAGTCCTTTTCAAGGACTTGGAATATGTGGATATTTGATGTTAAAAGTATCATCGCAGGATGGAAGCAGACCCCAGTAAAGCTGCCTTTTGCAACTGACTGATGGTGAATTTGTCAATGCCAATCAACAGTGTTCAAGTTGGTGCTCCAGTTGGTTCTGGGATTGGACCCAAGGCGCCTATTGCCATTGGTATTACCCTTGCTTGCCTTTGCCACAGTCATTCTATTTCTATTTTCAGGTCTTTGTATTTTTTTTGTCTTCTCCAGTTCTTTCTCTTCTCTTCCGCTATTCAGATAGTCCTTGATTGACAAAAGTTCATTTAGTGACCATTTGAAGTTACAACGCCGAAAAAAGTGGCTTATGACCGTTTTTCTCACTTACAACCTGTGGTCACATGATGCAAGTTCAGACGCTTGGCAACTGACCCATGTTTACGACCGTTCCAGCTCCCCAGGGTCATGTGATCCCCCCCCCCTTTGCCACCTTCTGTCAAGCAAAGTCAATGGGACAGCCAGATTTACTCAACAACCGTGTTTACTTCCTTAACAACTGCGAAGATTTACTTAACAGCAGTGGCAAGGAAGGTTGTAAAACAGGGCAAAACTCACTTAACAAATGTTCTGCTTAGCAACATAAATTTTGGGCTCAATAATAATCGTAAGTTGAAGACAACCTGTATTACCTCACCATGGGGCTACCGTAAGTAGCTTACAAACAATATATATAAAAAAGTGCTTTATCACAGCCAGATAGATGCCATTTCTTCTTAGACCTTTCCTGTTATGGCCTGTCAGCCACCGGCCCCTCCAAACAACTGAATCAGAGGAGGAGGTGGAAGTCAGGGTCAGCATCAAGGCAACCGGGGGGGGGGGGGGGGGGGGGGAGGGAATGGAGCTGGAGGAGACAGACAGAGGCGGAGCCTGGGCTGTCCGTCAGCCCTCAGATGGAGAGTCAACAGCCCCCAGGTCTGGAGGTGGCTGATGAAGAAGAGGAGGAACAGCTGAGTCCAGTGCCTGACGCACTGATACGCAGAAGGCAGAGGAGAGGAGAGCAGTGGAAATCTATGGGCTGGTCCTTGGGACAGAAGAGCCACCGCTGCTAGCGAAGCCCCACCCTAGCTCTGGGGATAAAAGACAGCGGGGTGGAGATGAATAGATGTGACAGACAACTCTTCATCTCCCCTGCTGGACGGACTTGTTAGCCTGCGGTGAAAGAGAATCTTTTTACCGGGGCTGCCGGCACTTCTAATAAAGGAACCTTTTGAGTTCACTTCAGAGGGTTTATCACGTTTGGGGAGCTGGGTCAGAACACTTCCTGTATTATCTCGCTTTAACAAAAGGTGCAACCGAAGGACATCATTCTGCCAACCTGCATCAAAGGCCCTCCTTCCCTGAAGTGCATCCACTGAGACCGAAGACAAGGATGCTATTGACTCACTTGTCTCCCCACAGCTTCTTCATCATGTCCTCCACTTTCTTGGCCCTGTCAGCTGCGGAGAGCTGGGCCTTTTCTCCTCTGGATGCAAATTTGGCCACGTACATCTCAGCAAACTGCTTCAAGGTGAACGCCCAACCGTGCAAGCCAGAGCCAAAGCCAACAGTACCGATTACGGGGTCAATCTGTAAGCAAAGGAAGGGATTCAGGCATTTTGAAAGAACGCGGAGAAGGTGGTCTACTTGGGAGATCCAACCCCTCAATTAAAACTGATCTCCAAGCAAGCAGAAACCACAAACCAACCCATTCAATTGCACCTAACCTGCAGCCGCCCCGATTGGTTAACACCCCCCCTCCAAAAGAGTGTTATAAATGTACCACCCAATGGATATTAATACAGGTAGTTCTTACAATCGTTCATTTAATGACCATTCAAAGTTACGACGACACTAAAAATTGTGACTGATGACCGTTTTTCACAGTTACAACCTTTGCGGCATCCCCAGAGTCATGTGGTCAAAATTCAGATGCTTGGCAACTGGCTCATATTTATGACGGTTGCTATTTCTTGGGGTCATGTGATCCTCTTTTGCGACCTTCTAACAAGCAAAGTCAACTGGGGAAGCCAGATTCACTTAACAACCGGGTTACTAACTTATCAATTGCAGTGATTCACTGAACCAACGGGGCAAGAAAGGTCATAAAATGGGCCAAAATTAACAAACGTCTCACTTAACAACAGAAATTGTGTTCGTAAGTCGAGGACTACCTGTAATGTATTCTTTATTCAACCAATTTGGTTAAGGGTAGCGATGGGCAACTATGGCAATTTTATGACCTGTGGACTTCAGCTCCCAGAATTCCTGAGCCAGTCAATAATGCTGGCTGGGGAATTCTGGGAGTTGAAGTCCACAGGTCATAAAGTTGCCATAGTTGCCCACCCCTGACCTAGAGGTTAAGGCACCAGGCTAGAAACCAGGAGACTGTGAGTTCTGCTCCTGCCTTAGGCATGAAGGCCAGTTGGGGTGACCCTGAGTCTCTTTCAGCCCATGACATCAGGCTCAGGCCACAAGCCCACCGGTCAATTCCTGTCACGACCAATAATCAAACACTTGGCTGATCAGAAAGAAATGGGCCCTGCGACTTGCAGGGAAATGCCAGGAAGGAAACAAAACTTGTTTATTTAATCCCGGGTTCTCCCCTGGATTAAATAAACCTTTTACGACTTGTGGACAACTCTGGAACTCTGGCTGGGGAATTCTGGGAGTGGGAAGTCCACAAGTCTAAAAGGTGCCGACTTTGGAGAGCTCTGAATAAATCAAAGCAAATATTTGATTAAACTCTATAGTTTCTTGCTTTGCTTTAATTTTGAACAGGTTTACCAGATTATACACTACATTTTAAAAGAACTGCGTATCAAGATGGGACTAGACCTTTTTTTTAAAAAAAAAAAAAACAAGAACAAATTAAGGGTAGTTAGCTATGAAAACCCAGCATAAATATCCTGAATGGATGTCTGAATCAAGCTGATGTTGGAGCTTCTCACAAGCCAGAGAGTCCTTCACTTCATCATAACAGGTAAAACAAGACTGGTCTTTTTAGGGCCGGGCCTCCAAACTTGGCAACTTTTAAGACTTGTGGACTTCAACTCCCAGCTATGCTGGCTGGAGAATTCTGGGAGTTGAAGTCCACAAATTGCCAAGTTTGGGGACCTCTGCTTTAGTGCATCATTCGACAAACTGCAACACGGAAGAGAGTTTTCTCCAAAGGTTACAATTGCAAAGGGAGGGAGGGACTAATGTAGTCAAAAGCATCATTTAAGGTTACATCGGTCTTAGTTCTTTAATCCTCTATACCAGGGGTGTCAAACTCAAGGCCCCGCGGGTCCGCCCTGGAAATATCAAAGGACCGGCCTGCTGGCCAAAACGGGGTGGGGGGAAATATCAAAGGTGCCTCTGCTGGCCAAAATGGGGTGGCAGATTGCTGGCAGAGTGCTGCAGGAAGGAGGCTGTGGAAGCTGAAAACGGCCCATGGGGGTGGGGCTGCATGCGGTCTTCCCATTTTGGCCGGCAGAGGCACCGCAGGCCAGTCCTTTGATATTTCCAGGCTGGCCCCGCAGACCAGATTTAAGCACCCCGGCCTTGAGTTTGACACCCCTGGTATAGAGGATTAAAGAACTAAGCTGTCAGCGTTCTGAGTAACAACCTACAAAAAAAAAGACTCAGAGAAAATTATCTTCCCAAAGATCCATTTGATTAGAGATGTCCTATTGGCGCACCTGGGGAAAACCCAGATCTGAGAGTCTCGGGTTTTCCCTCACACAAAGAAAACCCAAAATCCAACCCCTGCACCCAATAGTCCATCACATGGTCCAATCGTTACTTCGTTCCAACCGGAGACTATCTCCAGGCACTCCCTTCCAGGTGCAGGGCAACATGTCCTTGACTCTCTGAGAAAGGAATGTTGTTGTGGCTAATCTTCCATAGCTCCTTGAAATCCCCCTCCCAAATTCCCAGGCACTAAATGTGGCAGCCCAGGAACCTCGAAGAAAAATGGCTTCCAAGCTGACATAAGCATTGCTGGATAGGGAATTCTGGGAGTTGAGCAAGGAAAAGCACATCTTAAAACAGCTGCAGTTGGGAAACCCTGGTCTAGCACAACACCATGCAAACGCAATCCTACGGAACTAACTTCCTCCTTGCTCCAATCTCAACGTAAGTTCTCTTTACCATAATATTACCCATGGGTCCAGTTTCACCCTCTCCGTAAGTAGAAATGATAACATTGACGTTTTCCACAATGCGCTGGAAGGTCTGGTAAAGCTCCTCGGGTTCTAACTGCAGTTCCAGCAGAGCGCGGTCCATCTTGTTCATCATCAGGACCGGCTTGATACGCTCAGCAATTGCCTGCCGAAGTACGGTCTCCGTCTGCACGCAAACCCCTGGAGGGAAAGTTGACACCAGCATGATCTATGCTAGTTCCAGAGAAGAACTGGTTATGCAAAAACCCCACTATTCCAAAACTGTCAAACTTTTGGGTAACTTTGGTGGGAAGAAGAAAAACAAAGTGGCTTCCTATATAATGGCCAGAGATTAGGGGTAGCTAACTAATCTTGTATATTTTAATTTAAAAGAGACTATTGTGGCCTGTTGGTTGCCGGTCTCTCCAGCAGCCAAATCAGAGGAGGAGGAGTAGTTGTGGGAGTCAGGGCCAGCATCAAGGCAACCTGAGAGCTCCAAGGGGAAAAAGGGAATGGAGGTGGCAGAGAGAGAGAGAGAGGCAGAGCCTGGGCCGTCCCTCAGCCCTCAGATGAGAGTCTGGAAGTGGCTGATGAAGAAGAGGAGGAACAGCTGGGTTCAGATGCACATAAGGCAGAGGAGAGGAGAGCAGGGGAAATATATGGGCCAGTCCTTGGGACGGAAGACCCACCGCTGCTAGCAAAGCCTCACCCTAGCTCTGGGGATAAAAGGCAGGGGGTGGAGATGAATACATGGGGCAGACAACTATTTATCTCCCATCTGGACGGACTTATTTAGCCTGCATTGAGAGAGAAACTTTTTGCCGGGGCTACTGGCACTCCTAATAAAGGAATCTTTGAGTTAATCTCAGAGAGTTTGTCACGTTCGAGGAGCTGGATTAGAACAGATACATATCCTATTTCTCAGCACTTAAAAGAGAAAAAAAACTATGGTGTTCTATATCCTCAAGGCTGTGGCAGGCTGGTATTTGTATTGTTAAAATGTTGCATGCTATAGAAACATCAAATACCCTATGAGGTGCCCATCTCACCTTATTTATTCTGAAGTTTTCCTGGGTGAAAATTCTGATGAACTATCTAGACCAGCGGTCTCCAAAGTTGGCAACCTTAAGACTTGTGCGCTTCAATTCCCAGAATTCCTCAGCCAGCCATGAATTCCCCAATCATGCTGACTGGGGAATTTTGAGAGTTGAAGTCCACAAGGCTTAAAGTTGCCAATTTTGGAGACCGCTGGTCTTAAACTTCCTCGCTTTGAGGTGTCACCAAACATGTGTCAACATTACTTGGGAATTCTAAAGGCCTATTATGGAAAAGTGCTTGAAAAGGTAAGAGTGGAGAAACACCCTTCTCAGGATTGAAAAGGTGAAATTGGGGGGAGTTTATTGCATTGCGCAGCCATGGTAAACAAGTTTGTACATTTTCTCCAAAAAGTAGGGAGTGAGAAGTAACACTCAGAGCACGGCGAAATGCATAATGGCCCGTGATGTAGGCTAGACTAGTAATTAAGTGGTTTGCCCAGGGGAATCTAGAGAGTTTTGCTGCCAAGGAGTGATTTAATCCAAACTGCCACATCTGTTTTACCTTTCCACGGTATATTGAATATACACAATAGAGAAGTGGGTAAGCCATACTTCATTGTGACAGCTTGTGAATTTGAGAGGAGACAAAGAACAGCCAGATATCTTGTAATAATACTGCCAACTCCCAAAATGTTTTATTGTCTTAAAAAAAATCTAAATACCTGGCACTATCCACAGGGCTCAGGAATTCATAGATTGCTGGTGGCTTTGTTAGACTGCCAGGATCGACACAGCTCCAAGGAGAATCTTATCCTTGCTACTATGCTGTGCTTCGGAAAGTCTGAGTAAATCAGGAATTTTCCTTGCCAGACGTATGTCTAGCACAAAGGTGCTCATTGATCACGTATAACAGTGAAGGAAAATTGTGGATTCTCCTTCAGAATCAGATGCTAAGATACAGGTAGTCCTTGACTTACAACAATTCATTTAGTCACCATTTGAAGTTACAATGGCACTGGGGGAAAAAAAACGACCCATGGCCGTTTTTCTTCTTTATGACTGTTTACAGCACCTCCATGGTCACATGATCAAAATTCAGACGCTTGGCAACTGACTCGTATTTATGATGGCTGCAGTATCCCGAGGTCATTGGATCCCCCTTTTGTGACCCTCTGATGAGCAAAGTCAATGCAAAAGCTATTAACAAACATGTTCCTAACTTAATAACTGCCGTGATTCACTTAACAACTGTGGCAAGAAAGGTCGTAAAATGGGGCCAAATTCACTTAACAACTATTTTGTGTTGCAACAGAAATGTTGGGCTCTATCATGGCCGTTAGTCAAGGACTGCCTGTATTCTCCTTCAGCGTCTACCAGTCCCTACTGACTTTCTCTGGACAGCACAATGTTCCCGCCCAATTGAAGCATCTCAATTTTAAGGACATTCACCTGAAACACAGTCAACGACTACCAGAGCTCCATCGGTGACGCGAAGGGCTGCGGTGACTTCGGAGGAGAAATCCACGTGCCCGGGGGAGTCGATTAAATTAATGAGGAAACCGGAGCCATCTTTGGATTGCTTGATAAAGGCCAAATCATTTTCTGAGAGTTCGTAGTAGAGAGAAATAGCCCTACAAAAGAAGACAAAGGGTTTTCCTAAAACATATTTAAATTCAGCTAAAACATCAGCATATAACTCTGTGTCCCCGGGTGCCCTGGAACCATAACTCCCATAATCCTCAGGCACCAGAGCTGGGTGGCACTAAATAAATGAAGGTTTCACTTATCCAAGTGCAAATCTTTGAGACCAGATGTTGAGTTCTCACTTTCTCTGTCATTGCCAACTCTCCTCTAGAAAGTAGTAACTTCCGAGTTTCCAGCTATAAACAAACCTCTGCATTTTAGGAAAGCTCTGCTAGTACGGCTATTGAGATTTATGGATTTTTTTACATACACAATCACTAAAATTAAAAAGGACAACTTAAACAAGAAATGTTGGTGAGGAAGAGAGAAATAACAGGATAACAGCGTTGGAAGGGACCTTGGAGGTCTTCTAGTCTAACCCCCTGCTTAGGCAGGAAACCCTACATCACTTCAGACAAATGGTTGTCCAATCTCTTCTTAAAAACTTCCAGGATTGGAGAATTCACAACTTCTGGAAGGAAGTTATTCCACTGATTAATTGTTCTAACTCTCAAGGAATTTCTCCTTAGTTCTAAGTTGCTTCTCTCCTTGATTAGTTTCCACCCATTGCTTCTTGTCCTGCCTTCTGGTGCTTTGGAGAATAGCTTGACTCCCTCTTCTTTGTGGCAGCTCCTCAAATATTGGAAGACTGCTACCGTGTTTCTCATAAAATAAGGCCGCCCCATGCGCAATGACCTCTCCATGAGGCCGCCACTGGAAGCTCCCCAAAGGTAGTCACCAGCCGCTTCTATCAGCCGGTAGAAGCGGCCTCGGGGCGAGCACCCATGCGCACTCCCCTCGCCACGAAGCTGTTTCTATCAGCCTATGGAAGCTCCCCAAAGGCAGAGTCACCAGCCGCTTTGGGGTGAGGCATGGCTGCCCACAGGGTGCTCCTGAGAGGAGCGCCCCACACGCACTCTCCTCGAGGCCGTTTCTATCGGACGATGAAAGCTCCCCAAAGGCAGAGTCACCAGCCGCTTCCATCGGCTGATAGAAACGGCTTCGTGGCGAGGGGAGTGCGCGTGGGAGAGCGGCTACAAACTTTTCTTAGCAGAAGGGAAGCAAGCTGAGTTTCTCTCTCTCTCTTACACACACACACACACACACAAACACCTGCGGGGTTCCCACCGCCGCCCTCCCCTCCCCAGGCCAGACCTTTTCCGAGCACCCTGCCAAAGTCCCAGGGCAGCCGACCTCCCTTTACCTGCTGCCACCGCTGGTTTTTTGGGGGGGGGCGCCGGGGAGGGAAGAGGAGGCAGCAGAGCTTGGCTACCCTTAGAAGGAAGATCGGGCGGGCTCCTGAAAGGAGACGCGGGAGCGGTCCTCGTGGGAATGCGGCAGGGAAGCGGGGTGAGTGTGAAAGGGTCGCCGCCGTGGCACAGAAGGGCGGGAGGAAGGAGCTGGAGCAAAGAAGGGCCGGGGAGAAGCTAAACTGTCCTTTCTATTACTCTGGTGAGGGCCGAATATTTGCAGGGGCTGGTTGGAAAGGCCTAATTTTAGTATGAACCTTGAGTCATGGGGGGAAAGTTGAACGGCGAAAGCACTTCTGCACATGATCCGAGGCAATCCTGCCACAGCTCACGGGTGGCATTGCTAACAGTTGAGGGGAGTCTGAAAACTTCAGAGATGCCTCCTCTTCTCTCTCTCTCTCTCTCTGAGCGCCTGAAAGAGCGCCCGTCATTAACCAATTAACCAACGCCAGCCTCAGCATCCCTTATTTCGGCATAATTCGGGATGAGAGAGGAGCCGTAAAACCAGGGACTTGGCGACGAGATGCAGGTTCGTTCTTTTTCTTTTTTCTTTTTTTTGATTGAGTTCAATCACGAGACATTTCTGGATTTCATCGGACGTCCAAGGCGTTCAGAAGAACTTTTGAAAAACTTGCGGGTCTAACTTTGAGAAGCAATGAGTTTGGTCCTCTCAAATGGCGGAGGTTAGGGATGGTCTTTGGAGACCTCCCCTCTCCTTTAGCTGAGGGAGACCTGGGTGATTTTAGGCTAAAAGCTGCTCCGGAGAGATTGATCAGAGAATGGGCAGGAAAGCAAAACAAGAACATATTTGGGCTAAGGCCTTTTCTCCCATTCCCTCCATTGCAATCTCACAATTTTTATCCAGACAGAGATACGCGTGTACTTTCTCTCCTGCCCCGCTGGTAGATTCAAAGACAACTAATGCGCGCTCCCCTCACCACGAGGCCATTTCTATCGGCCGATGGAAGCTCCCCAAAGGCAGAGTCACCAGCCGCTTCTACCGGCCGATAGAAGCGGTTGGTGACTCTGCCTTTGGGGAGCTTCCATCGGCTGATAGGAATGGCCTTGTGGCGAGGGAAGTGCGCACAAGCGCTCGCCCAAGGCCACTTCTACTGGCCGATAGAAGCAGCTGGTGACTCTGCCTTTGGGGAGCTTCCATTGGCTGATAGAAATGGCCTCATGGTGAAGGGAGTGCGCATGGGCACTCGCCCCAAGGTCGCTTCTACTGGCCGATAGAAGCAGCTGGTGACTCTGCCTTTGGGGAGCTTCTATCGGCTGATGTTCTATCGGTAGTAGATCAGGGTATTCTAGCCTAGGCTATCTGCATGGCGCTCCTAAAGGCACGTTTTCTCCCCCCCCCTTTCCTTCCCATTTCTCTTCACCTCGTGTAGTTCTAACGAACGATGTGAGAAATGGCGGGGAAACGCATAGATTAAATAGGCCTAAATTTTAGGGGCGGGGCTTAATTTCACCTCATGCCTAGAAATCATGCTGGGCCTTCCTTTTGGCGGAGGCCGTATTGTTGGAGAAACACGATATCAGGTCACTCCTAGTCCTTCTTTTCATTAAACTAGACATATCCAATTCCTGCAACTGTTCTTCATATGTTTTAGATTACTGAATCTGAATTAAACTGTTGAGTTAAATGAAACAAACTGACCATGTCCATACTGCATTAAACTTGATGCTACATTAATTCATGGTCACCATTTGCACGATATACTGAACCATAAATCACCAATACTGTAAATCACAACAACCCTTGATGAAATTAACATTAAGTTTAGTGTGTTGTGCACATTCATTCATCCACAAGTCTTTACCTGACCTGTTTAAATGTCTTTTGTAAAGATGTAAAACAGTATCTCTCCATTTTGGCAACATTAAAATATGTGGACTTCAGCTCCCAGAATCTCCCAGACAGCATGGGTTGAAAAACACTGTATATCAGTCACATTTCTGTGTTTTGTATGCTGCTTGTACAAATAATGCAGAAATGCATCCTTACGTGGGAAGAATAGTGTAGCCTTCATCCTAACCATATTTGATAAGCTGATGCCTTTTTTGTTTCATGTGATGTTAATACAGGTGATCCTCGACTTACAGCCACTCGTTTAGTGAGTGAAGTTACAATGACAAAGAAAAAAGTGACTTATAAGCTGCTTTCACACTTACGACCGTTGCAGCCTCCCCATGGTCACATGATCAAAATTCGGGTGCTTGGCAACTGGCCTGTATTTATCATGGTTGCAGTGTCCCAGGTGACACTGTGATCACCATTTGTAACCTTCCAGGCAGCTTCCAACAACCGAAGTCAAGTGGGAACCCTGCTTCGTTTAACGACTAAATGATTCACTTAACAACTTTGGCAAGAAAGACTGTAAAACGGGGCAAACTCACTTAACAACAGTCTGGCTTGGCAATGGAAATTTGGGGCTCGATTGTGGTCGTAAGTCGAGAATTACTGGTAGGAATTCTAAACCTTTGGACCTAACACGGTTATGATCCCTCCTATCTTGCGCGTCCTGCTCGAGACATACTTTGTGAAACAGACTATAATGTGGAAACACAATCACAAAGTATTTTATTATTGCTATCACAACTCGTATGACTATCACTCTAAAATCCATCTTTTTTGTTTAGTATTTTAAAACAGCGGTCCCCAACATTTCCAGCTTGGCAGACTGACAGGAGTGGGGGAGAGGGAATGATTCCGTGCAAGTGGCAGGTGCGCGCACAAGCACACATATGTCCACTTGAGCAAGCGGTGGACACGTATGCCCGCCACTTACACAAACAGAGCCTCGCGCGCAAACATGAGTGCCCATTGCTCACACAAATGGACCTTCGTGTGCACTGCCCACCCCTTGCACAGCCCAGTTCCAAACAGGCCGCGATCCAGTAGTGGGCCTTGGCCCTGGGGTTGGGAACCCGTTTTAAAGAGTATGTCAACTTCCAACTGAACCTAGCCACAGCCGTCTTTCTGTTCCTCAGTTGCCACACAGAGGGGGAAGCGGGGCAAGGAGGTTGGAATGCCTTACTGGACACAACAGAGATTTTTCTTCTGAGAACCAAGGTCATCTCTACTGGTTAACAGATAAGGTTGGGGAAGGAGTACCAGAGAGCCCACCAATTGACCCAATTGGCCAACGTGACCTCTGACATTTGGGGATGGTGGTTATTTCCTAGTTTAATTATACTGAAACTGGGGGGGGGGGGAAAGATTTAGATTTGGTTTCCCATTGAAGCTGTGCCGATATGATGTACTCATTAAGGAAGACATTTGAGAAGGAGCCCAGTCTCAGAGTCCTGATTTGCTTGAGTTCGTTAGTCGGCGCCTTGACAGAGCATTTGAGTGGGTGCTTCTATGAACAAGAAACAACTTGGCAAGTCTAAGGTACCAGAGTCAGATATTCTGACCTATAAAATCAATCAAGAGAGGGAAAATTTCAAAATAAACTAGCACAAATCAAATGGAAGTCTGCTATCTTCCATACATTCCATTTGTAGTTGATGCATAATTGACAATCATAAAGGGCTGTAGATAAAAGTTAACATTACTCACGTAGATTTGATTGTGATACACCTTTCCTGCTCGTCCTTCCGTGTGTCAGTAAATCGTGTTTCACCAGCTCTGGCAGAAGCGATGATACCCGCTTTACACACTAAGGAATCTGTAAGCGTGGACTTGCCATGATCAACATGAGCAATCACCGACATGTTTCTGATGTTGGACTTTTTGTCCATGATCGCTCGGATCTGGTCTACTGTAAAATTCACCTGAAAAGGAAGAACAGAAAGTAAATAAAAAGGGAACATAACTGGTGGAGGTTTTATTCCATAAATATTTCACAGAAACTAAAACAGAAAGCTTTTGTGGAATTTAATTATGTGCTATCAAGATGGTGTTGGCTCTAAGCAACCACACAGAATTTCTCCCTGACAATCAACCTTTTACCTGGTCCTTCAGTTCTTCCAGCGATGTACCTATTCAGTGGTTCCCTAACCCTTCTGGCTCTGAGAACCGGTGGCAACAATGGCAGGAGGAGGGAGAGGCGAATGGTTTTGCCTGCATGTGCCACTTGCGCAAATTCAGCTTTGTGCACACACACACACACGCCACTTGCATGACCCAGTTCCTAACGGGCTATGTACTGGTACCAGGCTGCAGAACGGGGTTGGGGGGCCCTGCTGTAACTGACTCTATCCTTCCTCTCCCCCTCCTCATTCATTCCATCTTTCCAATCATCAGAACCTTCTCTAGAGAGCCAAGTCTTCACATAATGCAGAGCTCTCCAAACTTGGCCAGTTTAAGACTTTGTGGACTTCAACTCCCAGAATTCAGCATAGCTGGCTGGAGAATTCTGGGAGCTGAAGTCCACAAGTCTTAAACTTGCCAAGTTTGGGGATCCCTGACATAATGCATTAGGATATTATATCTGGTCTCTGTAATATGGATCAGGAATTCTTTTTTTAGAAAAATGTCTTTACTGGAATAACATTGTGCTGTGGTTCAGCTGAAATGAATTTTGCAATTTTTTTTTTCAACTTTACTTTGGGAGTCCAGTCACAGCCTAGCATTGCAAACTATTACTTTTCAACAGAATTAAAACAATGAATTTTACCATAAATTGTTGCTCAGGTATGCATAGTTAATTCAGTGTCAGAATTTCTATGCTGATAGGCTCACGCCTGGCTTTTCAAAACCTGACATCATAAAATTATCAAATTAAGCTGCCAGATAGAAATGTTCTTGCTTTGTGGAATACATGTTCATAATTATTTCACAGATAGCTAATTATACAGTGTAGTATTCACACCTGAGCAGAACATGCTATGGTGATCTCAAATTCTACCTTTTTTATAACCAAAACAAGTTATAGCAACTGTGATAAGTATCTTCTGTAATTGACTTTCACCAATAATATAGCTATACTTATCATCACACAGCTGATATATAGTGGCATTGTTGGGTTTTGTAGTTAAAAATCGGATTTTAACTCGGGGCGTCCAACTTTGGAAATATTACGATTCGTGGGCTTCAACTTCCAGAATTCCTGAACTAGCGTGGCTGGATGGGGAATTCTGGGAGTTGAAGTCCACTGGTCTTAAAAGTGTCCAGATACCCCTGCTTTAACCATTCCTCTCATCAAAGCCATGATATCATTAGCATCTTACTAGCATGGCAAGCAAGTAATTTGTTTTCCCCAATCATGAGGATTGTTATGCAGTCAATCACTTGGACAATTTTTTGCCCGCTTCTTCTGTTGCACTTTCAAAGTTGGACAGAAAACTTTTACTTGCAAATCTAGTGAGATGCTAATGATATCATGGCTTTGATGAGAGGAATGGTTAAAGCAGGGGTAGTCGACCTTGGAAAAGTTAAGTTCGGTGGACTTCAACTCCCAGAATTCCTCAGCCACGTTCCAAAGCTGGGAACAGTATATCTAAAGTTCCTGGGCCTTTGGCCTTCCAACAAAAATAACCCACGTCAGCTGCTTCTTGAGACGAGTGACACTTGCCACTGACACTGCAACTGGATGGGGCTTAAAGCATAAGACTCAACCAGCACAAATTCCCCTCTCTGATAATCCCAATTCCCTAGAGCTATGCTGGCTGGGAAATTCTGGGAGTTGGAAGTCCACAAATCTCACAATGCCTTGGTTCAGCAGTGTGTACGTGTCCCTTAGCCAGAGAGAGAAGGGCAACCGGCTGACAGTTACAACTGTGGAGTTCACCAGCAAAGGCAGACAAAGTCTGCAAAGTCCCCCCATTTCTACCAAGAGTTGTCAGTTATGATTACACTAACTGCAAATGTGTTACTTGCTAAGTCACCATGGAGATGATGGCACTGAGGATGGTATATTAAACATGTATGCCGTCCAACTGTAAATCTTTTGCACGGAATGAGATATTATTACAAAGCAAAATGGTAATGGAGGGTTATAAAAAGAAGTTAGAGAAATGTTTTTGGAGAATAATCTTAATAAAAAGTACAAAAGTAAGGAGGTTTGGGGTGTAAGTAAAAGCTTTTGTAAGCGGGTATTTTGTACAACACAATAGCAGATTTAAAAAGAAAAGGGAAGAAAATATACTAATGGTTTTGAGTGAGATTGAAAAAAAATCTTAAAATTCTCCAGGGATGACAACTATTATTCACCAAGTTAAGTTTTTACAGATGCAATTATCTATATTAGCAGTGAGAGAGATGGAATTAAAGATGAGCTTGTAAGACAAAAAATTTTTGAATCTGCAAATAAACCAGATAAATGTTTGGCAAATAAGCTAGAAAAAGAAATGAAAGTTATATTAAAGTTACAAAAGGGAAATACTGTTAAGTACAAATAATGTAAATATGCAAAATGTGTTTCTTCTCCATGATACAAAGATCAAAAAATACCTTTGGACAAAGTGGATGAATACTAGCAGAGTTTACTGAAGGTTACTGACAATCAAAGACAATTTTTGAATGGACCTTTAACAATACAGGTGAAACTATCAAAAAGACTGAAACAGAAAAATAATTTATTTATGGTTTTGATAATTAGGCTGGATAGATTACAGAAAGAAAATCATGTTGTAACGTTAGAAAAAGAGGTAAATTTATAATTATATTTATAACTGTTGTAAAGATGATCTGAAGCCATTTTTTATAACTTTTTTCTTTTCTTTTTTTTTCCTTTTTCAATTTTTCTTTTGATTTCTTTCTTTTTTCTTCCTTACTTTAAATTAATTTGCATTAGATTTTATCTTATTATTTAAAACTTTCAATAAAATGATGTATATATCTATATAAAAAGGAATTGGCCTTGGCTATTTTTCTATTGCAGTTTTTAATAGCGGTATGTTTAAGGAGCTTATAGGATAAACTTAGGTAATAAAAGTTCATTGTATCTCTTACTGTGAAAATATTTTATAATATTAGTTTTCAGTCCCATTACAATTTATTAAGGTGTAAAAATCCCACTAGTTATTTCTGGGTAGCTGAGCAGAGTAATCCTCCTATAACCCAAAGTATCTCTACCACCCTCTTAATGTCAGTATTGTTAAGTTATCAGTTTTTTAAGAGTCATATATTTGATCCATTAATGAAAGCCATTGTTGAGGATCCATTCTGTTTCTTTCCTATTATTATTTACTTCTAAATAGGAGAGAAAGAATAGACACAGTGATATTTCTTCCAATGAGAAATCTATGGAGATTCTCAGTCATCCAGATCATGGTTGTTCCAAAAAGGTGCTTTTCCAAAAGGCAACTGGACTTTCTTTGTTTTTTCTTGAAGATGTTTTGCTTCTCATCCAAGAAGCTTCTTCAGTTCTGAAGAACCTGCAGAAATTCTGAAGAACTGAAGAAGCTTCTTGGATGAGAAGCAAAATGTCTTCAAGAAAAAAACAAAGAAAGTCCAGTTGCCTTTTCTAAATGCACTCTTGGGACAATGGGAAAGGCAGTTTTTGGAATAATTGTGGCTTAGCGGCCTTAGCCAAATGTGTGAGCCTGGTCTTCTATATACAGAAGAGACCCTTATTTCTTATTTACTTATTTATTAAATCTAGAAGGGTGCACAACTCTATCAAGACTCTGGACTGGGTATAATATCAATACTTCAATCCCATTCGAAAGAACCACGAAAGTCTGGAGAAGAATAAACACAAAGTCCTGGGGAAAGTCTTTTAAGGGCCTGTTTAAACAAAAGCAAAGCGAGAAGGTCAGAATGCCAGCGATGAAATTAAAACATACAAGATGTTCAAGTTACTCCTACTTTTGGTTTCTCCTCATCCAGGCTAAGGAAGCAGCTGAGAACGATTTCACAAGGCTCTGGATATTGTTATTCCATTCTCCCCGACCATCGCTCACTGAATTTATGAGAGTTGCACTCCAGGAACATCTATACAGAAGCAGATTCCCTACACCTGATGAGAATTTGCTGCAAACATTAAATTAGTAACCCCTAAAAAGGCAGTACTTGTAAAATAATGCTTAAAATTAATAAACAAGTCTTGTCACAGATAACATTTGTCTTCTTCATGGCTGTTTTTGGCACTCAAGAGATACATTAATAGAGAAAAGTGAATAAATATGGGTGCTTTTCATTACTGGGTTGTTATAGGCACATTGTGATTAACAGACTCAGGTAGGAATTCCAAGGAACAAAATCCTTTTTTTTAAAAAAATTAATAAATATACACAAAAGTTTTATGCCAACCAGATTGTTTTCTCCCCTAAAGGAACTACCTAACTTAGCCCTTAGATGAGGGGTCACCCAACCTCTGGGCCGTAGCCCATTACTGCCGTGCTGCGTCCTATTTGCACGAGGGCCATGTGAGCGGCGGAGCGGTGCGCGCACAGCTCAATACACACAAGTTGAGCTGCCCATGCGTGCGCGTACACACCAACCCACTGCTCGCATCAGTATTTAAACTGTTGTAACACAAAGACTACCTGCATACGCTAAGTAATACCTATAAGCCAATAACATTAAAAGATTCCAAGTCTTACATCTTTATGTTTGCTTATCTTTTCAGCAAAACCGAAGCTCTACTTTAACTAAATCTGTCCTGATGCTCCTTCTCTACACTTCTACCCAATCATCCCAGCCAGGCCAGACCCAAAGTCTGTCTGTCTCTCTCTCTCTCTCTCTCTCTCTCTCTCTCTGCTGTGGCCTGGCAGTGCTCCACTTTGCTTACTGAAGCACTCGTATCAACGCTCCGGGTGCCCAGGTGAGATCTGCCAGCAGCATCATGACCACCCTGAAGCATGGCTGGTGCACTTTCTAGGGGGAGCTCTTCCCAAATCAGTCCGTGATGAAGCTGCATCAGGTGAACTTGTGAGACTTCTGGGCTCTCCTGCTGGGCTGCTTTCTTCTCCTCACTCCTCTCCCCTCCCTCACTGAACCTCGGCTCTCTCCAATGCTTCTCTGCCCGTTCAAAGTTGCACAGCAGGTATTTCCTTTTCTCCTTGGCCCTGTTTTTTTAAAACTCTCTTCTATCTTCTCCTTCAGCTTCCTGGCATCTCAGTGGCCGAATCTTGCCACAAAACACTCTTTTGAAGCAACCAGGCTCCTTCCTAAGTCTCTTTCTTCATAGCGACGTAGGGCCCTTAAAAGAATCCAGGTAGGAAAAGGGGGGCAGGCATTCTTGGTGCCAGGCAGCCCACACTTTCAAATTGACACAGACTGTTTATGACACACTGATTTGGGGAGATGGAATATGGAAAATTGAATGTGGAACGTGGAATAGAATAGAATAGAATAGAATAGAATAGAATAGAATAGAATAGAATAGAATAGAATAGAATAGAATAGAAGTTATAAACAGTGCAGAGAAGAGCAACAAAGATGATGAGGGGACTGGAGGCTAAAACATATGAAGAACAGTTGCAGGAACTGGGTATGTCTAGTTTAATGTAAAGAAGGACCAGGGGGTGACATGATAGCAGTCTTCCAATATTTGAGGGGCTGCCACAAAGAAGAGAGAGTCAATCTATTCTCCAAAACACCTGAAGGCAGGACAAGAAGCAATGGATGGGAACTAATCAAGGAGAGAAGCAACCTAGAACTAAGGAGGAATTTCCTGACAGTTACAAGAATTAATAGAACAGCTTCCCTCCAGAAGTTGTGGGTGCTCCATAACTGGAAGTTTTTAAGAAGACATTGGACAGCCATTTGTCTAAAATGGCACAGGGTCTGCTGCTTAAGCAAGGGGTTGGATTAGAAGACCTTCAAGGTCCCTTCCAACTCTGTTAATAACACATGTCTTTGGCTCAATTCATAATGCACATTTGCACATTACGCTGGACTACAAGGGAGTTGGATAGTTTGTGGTTCAGAATCTTTTTTCCGAATGCAGCCAATGTCATATGTTGTATGAATATGTTCCTTACCTTAAGTTATAACATGGATTATTGGGGGACAGAGTGCATAAGACAGTACATAAACACAGCAACTGGGGTTTATCCACACAACTTAAAATGCTACCTGAAACTCAGCCATTTTGTGCAAATTTCTCTGGCAACAGTCTATACATTGATTTGGAAACAGGCTCTATTTTAGACAGTTCAAGTCATTTCAGAATAAACCCAGCAAGGATTAGGACACACGAATTTAAGAAATGACTGCTTTCTGTTAAGATATGCCAATATTATACTATATAAACCACAAACTCTCAGAACAAGGATGATGTTATGAGCCTACCTTGCAGGTAAGGATTACTGAGAAAGCATGTAACACAGTTAACTCTTTAAACACCCTAAATACAAATTCTCACCCTTGAAAGCCCCCTTCATTCTGTCTTTGGGTAAAATGCAAAATTCTGATTGTGTTTCTTTAAATATGCTTGGCACACTCTGCAGCTATTTAAAGCTATGCAGATGGGGGTGGGAAAACTATTCCCCCCCCACCCCCCAAAAAAACATTCTTGCAGTTCCTGCTGCAGTATAAAAGATACTAAGAAAACATGGCTAATTTTTTACTGGGCAATTCAGAGAATTGACATACAACAAGATACCAATAATTATTTTTTTTTAAAATACATGTGTTCTCTAGTTCACCACCTCAAATGCTGCTATTCCTTAAATAACCTTGTGCAGTGTTTCAGAGGACCCACAAAAGTCGCTGCAATGAACATATACTAGGATGAGCATAAACAGAGGTGATTTTTTTTAGTATATGAATAATAGAGGAAGGAGAGCACTTACAAAGCTATTTAGAATATCGAAAGTGAAGTTCATATCTATAATATAAATGATTTTTTGAGGGGGGGGGGAAATAAAGCAAATATATGAACTTTGGGGTTCTGGATAGCCAGCATACATACAGGACATTCTTCCATTTCTTCAGTTACAGAATAGCCCTTTAGCAGACCAATACTGTAAACAATGCCAGCAATCAAAGGAAACTCTCCTTGAATCAAGGAGAAAAAAGCCACAATTATACAATTATTATTATCATCATTATTATTATTCTGCTTGCATAATCCGCCAATACATCACACAGTCCTAAATGCTTGGGAAGTGCTTGACTCGTGATTTGTGACACAAAATCCAGCATAGCTGTCTCATTTGCTTTGTATACTGTCATTTTTTATATCAAATAATAGCGTCAAGAAGTTGCAGCTTCCTGCTGTAGTGCCAGAAGAACTGCAAAACACTACAGAACAACATACAACAACATGCTACTCGGAACAACATACATTCTAAGGAGAGACTTAGTTGATACCTAGGATGCTGGCAGCATATCAACATCAGAGCCAATCAATAATACAGTATTTGTGATACATTTTTAAATGTCCAATTGACTGAGTTTCATGTTTAATGAATAAAAAGTTTAATAATAAGAATAAGAATAAGAATAACAATAATAATAATAATCTGGAAAGTGAATATCGCAGTACCACAGCCTAGAAGAGAAAGAATGGTAGAAAATAGAATTCTACACACAAATGCAAATGCTCTCAATGTACATAAAAGAAAAGATACATTGGACAAGAATCAGAAGGGTCAACACTTAATAATAGTCATAAGAATACAATTAAATCATACTAGGAAACCGTCAACATCTGCCTATCCTTATGGGAAGGACTCCTCCACAGGTGGACCAAAATGCCAAATCCCAGCCCCTGAACATCTGGCTGGCTGTGCAAACCAACAACCCCCTAACCATAACAAATTCTGCCAGGATGATGCCTGAGAGTTAACTTCTTCCAGTTTTTTGTTTTTTTATAAAGAGAATCCCCCTTTTTCCCCCGGTGGTGCAAATAAAACAGTCAAGTGGATCTGTTTTTTTTTCTTCCAAATCAGCTCATCCTCAGCGCAAGGGACGATGGGCTTTGTAGTCCTCCAACCCAGCTGGGAGGCAGCGCAAGCCCACCCCCCAAAAGAAAAAAAAACCCACCATATTCCTGCATCCAGACCACCCCAGTGGGCAAGAGAGCTGGACTCCCTTTTTAATCAGGACTGGGGAGGGAAGAGGCACCCCGAGAAGCTGCCAGGAAAACAGACCCACACTGACAATTCCTACACACACACACACTCACACTCACACACACACGTCCTCTAGGGAGGGTGTCACTGACACCATCCTGACATGGGTCCTGCAATAGGAATGACGGCGAGTGCGGTGAGGCGGGGGTGGGGGGGGGGCAAGAATAGAAAGAAGAGCAACTGCCTTGAAAATGGCTGTCGGGGAGGCCGGGGGCCCAGGGTGGGGTCTCCGCGAAAAGAAGGGCCGGTTTACGGACCCCGAGGGCTCTGGCGTTACAAAATGGGGCTGAGAAGGGGTCGCCGGCCTTCCCTTCTCGGGGTACGGCGCCTTTTCGCCCTGGGTATCGCTCACCATTTTGGCGGATGGTTCTAGATTGCCGCCGCCTCAGAAACCGCCACCGCCGCCGCCTCAGACCGCGGAGGTCGGAGAGCCGAAGAGGAGGAGGAGGAGGGAAAAAAAAAGGCCAAGACCACAAACGGGTGCGGGGGAATCCTAGAGCGGACACAACAAAGGCGGAGAGGAGGGGGAGCCCCCTCTGGCATGCAGATGTCAGTCTATGGTCTGCAGCTCGGGCTTTGGGAGAGACAGGGGAGGGGAGGGGGGCGACGCGCGGTCCTCCGGAAAGCGCGTTCGTGTGTTGATGTCGGTGCCGGCGGTTTTCTCACGCTCCCCCCCCCCCCCGCCCCACCCTCGTCGTTATCTTCACGGCGCAGTGCTGGGTGTGCAAAGGGAGGGAGCGGCGGCCCCGCACGTCCTTTTTGCAAGATCAGTATTGGCAGCCCTCGATTTACAACAGTTCCTTTAGTGTGTGTGTGGGGGGGGGGGTCCTTCAAACTTGACAGCTTTAAGATTTGTGGACTTCAACTCCCAGAATCCCTCCACCAGTCATGTTAGTTCAGGAATTCTGGGAGTTGAAGTCCACAAGTCTTTATTTTTATTTTTTATTTATTTATTTGATTTGTCAATCACTTACAAGATAATAGATATCATGTATAAACATGAGTAAGAATACAGGAAATAGGTACGAATAAATGGGGACAATAAGACAGGGATGGTAGGCACGATGGTGCACTTATGCACGCCCCTTACAGAGTCAGCCTATTGCCCCCAACAATCTGGGTTCTCATTTTACCCACCTGGGAAGGAGGGAAGGCTGAGTCAACCTTGAGCCTGGTGGGATTTGAACTGCCAAATTGCAGGCAGCCAGCAGTCAGCAGAAGTAGCCTGCAGTACTGCACTCTGACCACTGCGCCACTGTGGGTCTTTAACTCATTTAATGACTATGGAGATTTTCCATCATCCAGGTCATGGTTTTCCTCAAAGGGACTTTTTTTTCAAGAGGCAAATGGACTTTCTGGTTTTTATTTGAAGACATTTTGCTTCTCATCCAAGAAGCTTCTTCAGGTCTGACTGAATGGTGGGGAATGGAAGGATTTATACTCCTTGCAGATAGCTGGTCATTTGCATTCATTTAGTGAGTCATTAAGGTCACCTGGAGGTTTATGGTGTCCTCAGGGTCACTTGAGTGGTACAAATGGGTGTGAAGCCTTCTTGGAACTGCTGAAAGGACTGTGTTGTAAATTGGACATAGATGATATTGTATCCTTTCTCCTCTGTTGAAAGTGGGCTGTTCAATTTTGACATAGATGACCTCTTTGACCCCCTCTTTCAAACCATTGTCCCTGCTTAAATCATGCAAAGGACCAGCTGTCTGCAAGGAGTATAAATCCTTCCATTCCCCACCATCCACTCAGAAGCTGAAGAAGCTTCTTGGATGAGAAGCAAAACATCTATAAAAGAAAAACCAGAAAGTCTACTTGCCTCTTGAAAAAAAAGCACCTTTGGGACAAATGTCTCACTTAACAACAGAGATGTTGGGCTCAATTGTGGTCATAAGTCAAGGACTACCTGTATGATCACAATCAGTATTTGCAAGATCAAGAGGCATGGTAAGCGTTGTAGTAATAAGCAAGCTTTTGAGAATTCATTGGGCACCCAACACATGAAATATGGATGGGCAGAGAATGGAAGCAAGGTGTAACCATACTGTTCTGACCCAAACCTGATTCCAAGAGAATAAGCAGAAGACAAAGGCACCAGCACAACCTTTTACTGTTTCATTTATGAATCCTGTTTCTTCACAGATAAAATGCTGCTTCCAACTAATTAGCTCCGATAAGGAAGAGCCTTGCCAAGTTTTTGCAAGTCTGCCAAGAACAACAGATGAAGTTCCTAAACAATAAATCAAAGAGTCTCCAAACATGAAATCAGATATTCTAACATCCACCAGGCTCGAGTATCAAACTTCTTTGCCTTCTGCAAAGAACTCCGGTTTCTCAGCTGGCTTTTATCTTCTCAGGGAGGGGCCACCTTGCAGCCTTACTCCCGAGTCACCTGTGCTGCTGCAGCTGGTCTTTCCTTTGAGCAGCCCTGCGCGCACATGCACTTGGCACAGGCTCCTCGGGGGCCTCTTCATCACTGCTGCCAGCCTCCACAATCTCCACTCCCTGATGGTCCTGGCCCCATCCCTGCATCACACGCAGGCCCCTCATCTGAGTCCTCGCTCTCTGAGACCTCAGCCGTCCGCACCTGCTGCCAGCGAACCACAACACATGCCTTCCAACCATGGTTAATTTCCCGTTTGGGGAAAAGATAAAATTCGTTCATGCTAAAACCCATCTCACTGTTTAGGCAAAATGCAGGTGCCTTGAGGGGGAAATACATAGATATTAGAGCCAGGGTCTTCAAATTTGGCAAGTTTAATTCTTGTGGACTTCAATTCTCATAATTCCTGACCTAACATGACTGGAGGAGGAATTCTGGGAATTAAAGTCCACAAGTCTTAAAGCTGTCAAGTTTGAAGACTCCTGTATTAGAGGAACCTGTGTTATTTATGTATTTATTTTACAGTATTAGATTTGTTTGCCTCGAAGCAAATGGGTGGCAAAGAAATCGAATAAAAAAATAATAGTTCTCAGAAGAACACGTTATTTATTTATTTGTATTTAATTTATGGTATTTGGTTTGCCTCAAAGTGAGAGGGACAGAGAACAAATCTAAATATTTTTAAAAAAATAGTTCTTAGAGGAATACATGTTAAATTGTTAGATTTTTAAAGTGTGTGTGTAGGAACTAATATGTTTATTTCTTAATATGGCTTCAGTTGAAAGTAACTAATCATCTTAAAATATCTAATAGTCTTAAATCTTCTCATGTACCTAGAGGTTTAGTTTACTGTTTGTGCTAAGCCATAAAACATGGTTCACACAGAGTTGTCCCTTGAGGCACAAATGACCAGGCTCAAGTTGTGCTATTTGCAGAATGATGGAGATGGAAGGGACTTCGGAGGTCTTCTAGTCCAACCCCTGCTCAAGCAGGAAACCAGGGGTGGGATTCAAAAATTTTAACAACTGGTTCTGTGGGCATGGCTTAGGTGGTGGGCGTGGCTTGGTGGTCATGTGATTGGCTGGGTGTGGCCAACTCAACATCACTCACATCCAGGCACACATCTCCTCGCCTGGCCTCTCATGACTGTGGGGATGCTGCAACAGTCGTAAGTGTGAAAAAGTTCATAAGTCACTTTTTTCAGTGCCATTGTAACTTTGAATGGTCCCTCCACACAAGCAAAGTACCAGCAAAGGAGGAGAAATAACTCCAGAGAAGATCCTGAGACAGGAAGCCTAGTCCTGCCAAGAATGTAATAAGGGTTAACGGAGAGGCAGTTTCTGTAAGCAACACCATAATGTTTCCTTCCTGCCTTCCTTACAGGATTAGGCCAGTAATTTCTTCTAACAACTGGTTCTCCGAACTGCTTAGAATGTTAACAACCGGTTCTAGAGAATAGGTGTGAACCGGTAGAATCCCACCCCTACAGGAAACCCTGTACCACTTCAGACAATTTGTCCATTTGTCCAATCTCTTCTTAAAAACTCCAGTGTTGGAGCGCCCACAACTTCTGGAGACAAGCTGTTCCACTGATCAATTGTTCTCACTGTCAGGAAATTTCTCTTTAATGCTAGTTTGGTTCGTTCCTTGCTTGGTTTCCATCCATTGTTTCTTGTCTTGCCTTCTGGAGCTTTGGAAAATAGGTTGAGCCCCGCTTCTTCTTTGTGGCAGCCCCGGAGATATTGAAACGCTGCTATCATGTCACCCCTAGTTCTTCTTTTCATTAGACTAGACATACCCAGTTCCCTGCAACCGTTCTTGATATGTTTTAGCCTCCAACCCTCTAATCATCTTTGTTGCTCTTTTCTGTGCTCTTTCAGAGTTTTAACCTCTTTTTTATATTATGGTGATCAAAACTAGATGCAGTATTCTAAGTGTGGCCTTACCAAGGCTTACTTTGGACACATTTTGTGAAGACCTAAAAGCTCTAAGGCTAGAAAAGATGGAAGGAAAAAGAAGAGGACAAGCAGCCGTGAGATGGATCTGGTGACTGTGATGATGAGGGCACATTTGGGAGACTTGGAAGAACAATCTAAGGATAAATCATGGAGGATATCTAGTTATGTGGTTGCTAAGAGTCGGGAATGACTTGATGTCACATAATCTTATCCACTGCCATAGCCAAACCTCTAAGCATAATCTTTGAAAAATCTTTCAGGACCAGCTCCTTGCCTAACCTATGGTCGCAAGCCACAGTCATCCCCATCTTCAAAAAGGGAGACCCAAGCCTAGTTGAAAATTACAGGCCAATCTCCTTATGCTGCGTCACCTGTAAAGTCATGGAATCAATTATTAACCAATCCATCATCCTCCACTTAGAGACAAACAACCTACTCTCCAATAAACAATTTGGTTTCAGAAAAAAACTATCCTGTAATCTGCAACTCTTACACTGCAAAAACATATGGACGACACAACTCGACCAGGGCAAAGCAATTGACGCAATCTACATAGACTTCTGTAAAGCCTTTGATTCAGTGGTACACGACAAACTACTCCTAAAAATAAAATCCTATGGTATCTCTGGACAACTGAATAACTGGATAGAAGCATTCCTGTCAAACAGACAACAAATGGTCAAAATCGGGAACGCCCTATCAAATCCAGTACCTGTCAATAGTGGTGTCCCCCAGGGCAGTGTTCTAGGACCAACTCTCTTCATACTCTACATAAACGACCTCTGTGATCATATTAAGAGCAATTGCGTTCTCTTCGCTGATGATGTAAAGCTGTTCAATACCACAGACAATACTGCTACCTTACAAAAAGATCTTGACTATGTATCTGAATGGTCAAACAAATGGCAACTTCAAATCTCAACAAATAAATGCTCTGTCTTACATATTGGCAAAAAAAATCAGAAAATAAAATACAAGCTGAATAGTCAAGATCTTGTTGATGACCCAAGCTCTGTAAAGGACCTTGGAATACTCACCTCTAATGATCTAAGTGCTAGAGCCCACTGCAACTACATAGCCAAAAAGGCATTAAGAGTTGTTAACCTAATCCTACGTAGTTTTTTCTCTGGTAATATCACACTACTAACCAGAGCATACAAAACATTTGCTAGACCAATACTCGAATACAGTTCATCAGTCTGGAACCC